GCTACCAGAGCTCCTTAGGTAATATTTTTTGTCTAGAATAAGTTCTTACAGTTGTTAAGTACTGGTAAAGTCAGATAATAATTGTATAATTCAGGGTGGAAATCCTTACTTTTATAGGACAGTAAACAATTCAAAAATTTTTACTAGATCTTAACCTTACTTTAGAAATTCTTATTACTCAAAAACTCCACAATATTGCCATTGTAAAATAAATGAGTTTATTACCTTTGATTTGTTCATTATCCCAGAGTAATAATCAAAAGTCATCCTCTACCAAAGCTAAGAGTACTAACCAAAAAATTATTCTCCACCAAAACAAGAATAAAATCAATTTCTAATATTTAAAAAAGTCAAAAGTATATTATTTTGTAAAAAAAACACGCTCAATTTAAACAATTACTATCCCAACAAATGACATATATATCATCATTACTGATGATCCTGGAACACTTATTTATTCTAGAAGTTTCTCATTCAATAAATAAACTGTATTTCCACCAGCCAAATACTTTAAGTATGGAAATGAATTTAACATATAATGTTGTTGTTGTTAAGTGCTGTCAAGTCATTTCTGACCCATAGTGACCCTGTATAGATACTGAACCGACCTTGCAGTCGAGGGTTTATCTTACAGCACCACACCATAACTTCAATATATAGTAACTTAGACTAAACAATATTATCTGCATTTATACTGTGGTTTACAATTATTTAGAATGTTTCTCATTTACTATTAGTTCATTTGATTCTCATAGCAACCTGAAAAGAGATAAAAGATTAAAAGAAATTGTGACTTGACTAAGGTCACTTAACTAGTAAGAGATGACATACAATCCAGGTTCTTTTGCTTCAGTCCTGTGATCTTTCAATTGAACCACATGTGAGAAGCATTTCAGAGCTGCAATAGAACTCTGAACCCTTCTAGTTCAGTCAGATGATCACCAGGGTGCACACAGAATTGCTAAAGATTGCTAAGCCTAGAATCTAGGTCTCTGGGTCCACTCCTTTAAAGAAACAACTCTTAAAAATCAAAACAAAATCATTTAGTATATTCTTGCCTCATGTCAGTCTTTAATGAAAAGCTATAAAATAATCATTCATGAGAAAAAAAGAGGTTCTCTTATGTAACTCCATAGTAATTTCTAAATGTGCAGAAGAGTGAAAACAGATTAATTTTCTTCAAGCTGACAAAATACAGGATGCACAATATATAAATAGCAGTCAATAGTCCTAGTCCATAAGGATTTTATTCTCAGCAGCTGCTGGGTGACCCTCTCCTATTCAGTTAATGCCAACTGCTTTTGCTGTTCTTGGGCAGATATCATGCAGACAGTATAGGCTGTGGATCTATAATGCCATATGACACATGAGACTTTTTAAATTAGCCTGGATTAGCTAGAATGACTTGTCAGGTTTCTTCTTTTTTCCTAACAGTCATGTGACAGAGCACTGGCTCATAGCATCATCAACTATTCTGATATTAAAATCAGACTGTAGACTATAAAAATCCCTGTTTCAATGGTTAAGGAGGCAGAATAGCTAACATTTAGGGTTAAGTCATACCTCTACCACTTCCCAAGGAGCTCTGATAGCATAGTGGTTACCAGTAAGGATGTTAACCTCAAGGTTAGCAGTTCAAAACTACCAGCAGTTCCGCAGGAGAAAGAAGAGGCTTTCTGCTCCAGTAAAGATTTACAGCCTTGGAAACCCCACAAGGGGTCACTATGAGTCGGAACCGACTCCACGGTACATAACCACCACCGCTTCCCAGCCATGTGACTTTATCTATAAATGAGATGGTTAACACCTACCCCTAGGGTGAGTGAGCTATGGATAACAATCACCTACTCCAGGTAGTTATTACCATTATTATGGCGCCACCTTTCCGATTCAGACCCAGCAGCAGCATCGTCATTATTACTAAATACTGATGCTCAATAAGATTTCTTAATATGTGTTATTAAGAAATATTTCAGGCATACACAAATGATGAGATAAACACAAGTGCATCAAGCACTCAGCTGAAGAATTCAAGACAATTGATTTATATCTATTTTTCATATTAGACTTGGGATCTTGAAAAATAAAAAAGAGTACCTCACAATATATTCAACAGCCTTAATCTATAGTTTTCATGTTCTTCTAGACCATTACTAAATAGTCTTTCTTAATACTTTGTGAGCACTACCGTTTTTCTTGTCAAGCCAACATTTTCCAAATTCCCTTTGTTAA